AACAATGCATACAAACAAAAAAGGGCGCAACAATTCCCAAACAAGAACAAAACACAGCCATAATCTTTTCTTGTATAAACCTTAATCGACCCAGAAAAAGTTTGAACATTGAAATCTGCCACTGTCAGCATTTCTTCAACGGTGAGTTCATCTTTCATTGTTCACCTAAGGACACTGTCATAACTCTGGCAGCTACAGGAGCTTGGCACAGTCAGAGCTGGCGTGGAGGACACAACAGGGGAAGAAAAAACAAACTGGAGCCCCTGCCTGAAACACTGGGTAAAAATAGACTTTATGCTGTTATAGTCCAACATTCAAAGAGCATTTATTCAGTGGGCGAATCTCCTATGAAGCTAAACTTACACCTCACATTGCTTACACATCCACATCAGTGAACAGGCAATGTTCTGGAGCATGGAGCTGTCAACCCTGATTTAGGAAGCAGACTTATTCTAGTGCACTTTTAGCATCTTATACTGAATATTAACTGTTTAAGCATGAAAGACGTTATGAATTTAAACACTAGGTTTGCCCTCTGATTCACAGAGCAGCATCCATGTCTGCATGACTGATTGCACAACACGTCAGACAACACAGCAGACAAACACATAATGGTATTGCAAAAGACCATGATTAGCATTATCTGCAGGTAGCGCCGGCGATGCTGTGCGATGCAGAGTCTTAACAATAACATCCGCATACAAGCTGGTGGGTAAAATGACTGCTCCACCCTCAAGGTATATTGATTCAGCCAAGAGTGATTCAGACCGGCCCACAGAAACAACAGCAGCAAGGTTAAAGAGAAGCACGGCTCATATGAGAGCAGATAAGAAGGTGACGAGAAAAATGTTCCAGGATTTGGAGTTCAATTGCACATATTCTTTTGTGATGTGAATTTGGTTTCAGTTAGTGATTTCCTACACTTCCCAGAATGCCTTGTCACGACACCAAGTCACGTTCTGTTGAATTAAAAGTCATAACTTGCTTCATATCAGCTTTTTTTCTGTAGCGGTCTGACTAGTCTGTAAACACTGAGGCATGTATGTGATCATGGCCACACCCCTCACTTGAAAAGTTCACGCTGCATTGCATCCTGGTCTATTTCCTGCTGATATGGATGTGGAAATTAAGTCTCTGTGCTACCTCTATGATGGATCTCTATCCATTGTTGATGTTTTTAATTTTTCTTATAAGTGTTTGGCCAATTATTCACAGGAAGATATAAAGATTTCACCATGAAAAGCAAGCAAAGGCACGTCATAGTGACTGTTAATGTTTTTCACTTAGGATGAACTTTAAAGAAACAATGACAGTGGTGTCATGTGAGAACGCATCAGTTGGGAAAAGTCCCCTGCTCAGCCAGAAAATCCTATTCTCATGTTTTGTGTCATGTTAAGGTTGTAAGGTTTTGACAAAAAAACCTCAGGGTTTTATTTGTCTGGCTTAGATTTGGGTATCATGACAGGAAATACCATGAGGCCATAGAAATATGTTTACCATTTGTCTCTATTTTTGGCTGTGAGATTTTTCTGGTTGTATTACACAACAGTGGGCATTGCTTTACTTCACTGAACTGGACTGCTTCATGGCAAATTGTATTTTTGAAATAACTTGCTTAGGTCAGGCGTTTTATTCTGCTAAAAGTGCATATCTCCCTCGGTTATTTATACTAACATCATGAGATTTAAGCCATAACTTTCACCTATATCTCTCTATTACTCTCATCTATTAACGTATGTTTCTGTATGTTTGCTGCCTGCAGTACAAAGCATCTTAAAACAAAAACAGTCAGCCATTAGGTAAGAACAGTGAACAATGTCAGACACGGTTTAGTGATAAAGCAGAAGCACCAGTTTCTACTTCTTCAGCCACTGAGATATGATCTATCAGGCAGCTTACTGGTCAGCTGGAGGCAGTGGTGGAAACTAATTACACTTCCTCAAGTATGTGCTAAAGTACAATTTTGAGGTACTTGTACTTGTACTTAAGTTGAGTATTTCCATTGTACACTACTTTCTACGTTTTCGCAATCTTTGTAATTTTCACTCTACTACATTTTGTGACCATATACTGCTTACTTTAAAGATCAAGGTTTTATGTATGAAATTTGTTCAGCTGATAAAATGTAATGCATTTCAGATTAATTATTAGACATTAAACTACCCAGCAATGTTAAAAAGTACGCGTAGTAATACAGAAATACTGCCTGTTTGAAACACTGATTTTAAATTAGACCCACTGACTTACATGTTAGGCGCAATCCCAGATGGAGCGATGGATAAAAGAATGGTTTACTTGCTGTTTGTCATTTTGTAGGTGGCAAAAAATGATAACTTTATCTTGACTCAACCCACCATACCTCGACGGCAAGACAGGATAATGAAAGTGTACTCAATGGAAACAATAACACCAAAACTCCATGCAAAGACAGGAGTGTTTTTATTTTTATGGGCTCCTGTAATACCTTATTTTAGATTACTAAAATGATAAGTTGCTGTAGAGATACAAGTGTAAACTTGGGCATAGCTAATATCTGTTTGTTTTAATGTTCTTTTATTATGTACTTTTTATTTTTCCCTATTTCCTGAAAGAATAACTATGTATAATTAAAATTAAATCAACATTTTGTTAAACAGAAGTCCTGATAGTAGCTTAATGTGGACCAGCTACAACGAAAAATGCTTCTTACACAGTAATTCATGAGTAATAAGAATCCAATAATATGACAGGAGTCATTCTGCTGCCTAATGAGTACTCATACTTAAAATACAGTTTGCTGATAATACTTCTGTACTTTTATTTGAAGAGGATTTTGAATGCAAGAGTTTTACTTGTGGTGGAGCAGTGTCACCCTGAGGTAATACTCCTTAAACTTATGTAACAGATCTAAATGCTTCTTCCAACACTGCCTGAAGATCTGTCAATAGTGTCAATAGTGACAATGACGAGGCAGCAGTTAGCACGCTAGCAATAACAAGGCTGTTATGAATGCTCAATTAGTCAGCACATTTGACTGCTGTCAGGCCCAGCTAACAGAGTGTGATGAAGACTGACAGGGAGGCTGATGAACACGCATTCAAGTCGGTGCTGCTCTGTGTGGAGCCACCACAACAACCTGCTAACACTCGCTTTAGCTAACATGACTCCGACCGTTTACAACATCTAAGCTCTGCTAGTTGGACATTAAACGCGTCTCACGTCTCACAGAGAAGAGGACGCTGTTCACTTGTTAGCTGAGTCAATGTCATTCATATCAGATGAAAGTGTGTTGGGAAGTTGGTGACATTAGTAACACGATCCTCCTTCCTTTGCTTCCTTCACTTGTGCTGCTCCTGTCCCTGTCATTTACACCAGCGGGCCCGTGTTGTCCTCGCGGCTGCACAACAATCGTGATTTATTAGCTATAAACAAATCAAAACTTTCCAACAAACAAGCAAAAAAGACAAAGTTAATATCTGCTATATGGGAGGTTATTTATTTATAACCGTACGCTGTCTGCTTGACAAACAGTTAACGCATTCTAGAGCTAAGCTACATGCTAGCTAACTTGCCCGCTAAGCTAACAATTAACGTTACCTTGACTGGCGGGGTCCATTTCGGCGTCGATTTCACGGAGCTGGACTCCTTTTACTTTTGTTAAAACTTAAACTCGACTGGTGTGACGTGTTGACGGCAGACTGCTTCAGTGTGCTCTCCACTAGGTGTGTAGAAATCTTCCTGGTTTTGTTGGCTGCTCCCACTCAGAGTAAAGTCGTCGACAGAAACCCAAAACAGCCCAACAGCCAGCTCAGCTATAACAGCGCTCTGTCAAGCTAATGGAGGGCACGGCGGTACTTCCGGTGAGGGACTTCAAAATAAAGGTCATATCATACTTACAATGATGATGGTGCAACTTTATAGTCAAGTATGTGTGCATTCAGTGGCTTTAGCTCTGTTTTAGCAAAGCTGTAAATCAAAAATCAAATATCTATTCATTTCTTACACTGAACTGTAATTTGTATTATTCAAATACCTTCACTGATTTTAACTGCATTGTAGTTATTCTTGTATTTTATGCCTGTCTTAGTATATTTTAACCTCAGTTATTAAATTTATTGAGTCCTACCACTTCTCCATTAGTCACTGAGTAAAATGAAACAGTTTCCTCATATACACAGAGCTATATCTAAGACTTTTCTAAATATACAATTATTATCACCATTTAACTTTGTCACGCAAAAATAACCCATGTAAATGTACAATATTAATGACCAAATATCTGCTTACAAAATACAAACCTTTCAGTGTATAATATGAATTACTAATTATCCATGACTTACAAATATAAACCAGTTTAAATGTATGACATATCCACTGCTCATTATTATTATTATTATTATTATTATTATTATTATTATTGTTATTTATTGCTGTTTCTTGTATTTTTTGTACTTTTGCATACCTAGTTTTTAAGTTTTTAAATTCTGAAATCTTGAATCTGACTCTTTCCCCTTGGCTGCTGTAACACTGGAATTTCTCAATTGTGGGATCAATAAAGGTATATCTTATCTTATCTTAATCTTATCTTATCTTATCTTATCTTATCTTATCTTATCTTATCTTATATTACCAATCATCTTTGCTTTACAAAATAGATATCAACATTACATACAGTATATATCTTAATTAAGTTGTACTGCTTTCGTTTTATGTTTTGATAAATCAATGCTTCAATGTGCATGCACAATTTTAGATTACACTCTTATTTTAAAGTCGTGTCCTCCAAACAGGAAGTTATGTTCCTTATCATTGGAGTAGTGAGAATTCCCTTTCAGGCGTGGTCAAACAACGTCACAGAGACAGCTGTTGACGAAATATGTTGTTTTTTTTCTTGGATTTTT